TTGCTGAATTAAAATCCAGCTGACAGGGAGACTATCAATTTTTAATGGGAGCTTCCTCCCTCCTGGAGAGGGGAAGCCTGGGGGGGTTATTCTTAAAAAGGATTCACGTTTCTCACAACCGCTCCATCGGCTTTGGTTTCATCCGAAGCTCAAGTTTTAAAGCCTGAACGAGAAATTACAAAAAGCCCCCCCAGGTGAAAATCCTCCTGAGAGCTCCCCAGGCTGTGCCCCCACAGGCACTCCCTCCTCCCACCGCACGTGTGGCTCAGGGGCTGGAGCCCACAGAGGCAGCCCAGCTTTGTGCCACGGGTCAGGGATGGGGACAGGGCCCAGAGGCTCTGTCAGAGGAAGGTCTGGCTGAGCAGATAAGGACCACACGTGCCCCGGAGAGTTCGGCCCCTCACTCTGACCCTCCTCTCCAGGGGCCATTCCCCAGCAGAATTCCATTTCTTTCACAGCCACAACAATTTACACGAGCTGCAGCTCTGCCCCTGGACTGAACACAAAGCCTCTGTGGGAGAACCGAACAATTCCTTACAATTCCCTTCCCCCAGCGCTGCTTTCCCAGGACAGCTGTTTTCCGTGTTTTCTTTTAAGTAAAAACAGAAGGATCCTGAACTTCCCAGGGATTCGGAGCATCGCTCCCCCCACGCCCGGATCAGCCAGATCAGCCCCACGCCAAAAGCAACCTTGGCTCTGCAGGATCTGCCGGACAAGGTCCTTCTCTGGGATTGAAGAGCTCCGTGAGGAGCAGCCCTGGCTCCAGGGGGTCACTGAGGCAGCCGCAGCCCCGCTGCCCCCAGCCCTGCCCGAGGCCCGGCACACACAGCCCGCACTGACTCCGGGAGCTGCCCGGGGCGGCCGCATCCTGCCTTTGTGTGGGAGGAAGGACGCTCATCCCTCATCAAGGACCCCACATCCCTCCTGCGTTCAGCTCCTCGGCCCGGGGAAGCAGATGTGGGAGTTCAGAAGGATTTCTGATCCCATCCCGAGCTGGGCAGCCTCCCCCGGGCCAGGCCCGAAGGTCAAGTCCCACACCTGGCCCTGGGAGGTGCTCACCACACAATTCCCCATTGATCCCGAATGAGAAAAAACCACGATTCTTACAGAATCTGCCACAACACGAACACTAAAGATAATTAATGACTTGGTGATTAAAACACCTTGCACTGGAGGCTCAGTGCTCTCCCCTGCAGCAAATCCCGAGCTGCGGGGAGCTGCGCTCCTGGCACTGACCCCAGCCCTGCTCTGGGAGCCAGCACGTTCCCTCCTGCAGCGCTGACTTTTAGGATTACCCAAACCCCAAAACAGGCTGGGCACAACCCCAAAGCACAGCACAACCGAGTGCGGGTGGCCCCGCGGCTGCGTCACTGTGAGTCAGCCCCGCTCCGGTGCCGGCTTCACCCAGACCTGACTCACCTGCCCCGGGAGCTGGCCGGTTCCCCCGACAAAATCCAACACTCCCAGCTAAGGAAGAATTTCACAGCATTTTCTGTCCCTGGGAGATGGCTGGAGCCACAAAACTCCCGTTCGCTGCTCGGGCACAGCCCCTAAACAAGACACCAAAGCAAACCCCAGAGGAGGCTGGAGACGCCCCAAAGGAGAACTTTGTGGTTCTTGATTTTAAATAAAAGATATTGGGGAAAAAAGGGAAGAAAAACCCAAAGCCTCCTTTCTAGCTCCATGACAAACTGTGATCCTCATCCCATCAGGAACAGCTTCCAGTCCATCACCAGCCTGAGATAGAGCCAAAACCACTTGGGGATGTTTAGGCACAAACCTGTAGTGAGAACTGAACATCATCTCCCTCTGTGTATTGGTTGTTCCCCTACTTTAACAGCAATTAAAACCCCACTTTTCCCAGCCCTCTTCCCAAGGCTTAATCTACACTCAGGATGGGACATATGAAAAATTCACCATGTATCTGCCTGACTGCCTCCAGCCACCAAGAAAGCAAACACAAACCATCACAAGTGGACCAGAAGATCTTTAACCATGTTGGATGTTCCCTGAGCTCCCCTCACAGCACAAGGAAATGCTCTGGCTCAAATCAGAACTAAACTGAACAAGTGATAACAAAGCCAAGCACTTCTTTCCCCCAGAACATGGCTCAGAACAAACTCAGGGCTGCAGAACAGCTGGGCTGTGTCACCCCTCGAGTGCCACACACAGCAGAAGGAGCTCCAGTTCCTATCTGACCCCTGAGCCAGAGGGAGCCCAGATAAGAGAGGCTGGTACAGGACATCCTCTGCCTCCAGCCAGCTGTTTCACACCCAGCTGAAGGGACTCCAGCAGCTCCAGCCTCGCTGCACTCATTCAGGATTGTTGCATCCAGTTCAAAAGTCAAACTGCTGATTAGTCTGGGAATACACAACTCCCTATCCCATTGTGCTGAGATTCAATAATCTTTTTATTATCCTGGAAGAGATATAATTATATTTCCAATAGTAATTTATTGGAATGAGTAAGACCTAATCTAAGAGAAACACAATTCCATTGAATTGTCAGTGCTTGGAGACACTGATGACATCCACAGTGGACTTCAAGCAGACAAACCAAGAGTTTATGAGATGATCCTGTACCAAATCATCAGTTATGACACACAACAGCTGGAATGGAACTCCACCAAAATACAGCTCTGTGACCTGCTGAGCTGCTCCTCCCAGAGCTGCTTTTACACCAACACACAGAGATTTGGAGTTTGGTGCTGCAGGAATGAAGTCAGAGTGCAGAACTGCTCCTCCAAGCCCAGGTCCCTCCCTGCAGCCCTCACTGCTCAGGACATGGATTTGTGTCAGGTGAGGGAGGTTTTGGGATGGCTCCCAGCACAGAACTCTGCCCTAGTGCTGGGATGTATCCCTGGGCTCCCAGAGAGCAGCAGGCCCTGCCCAAGCAGCAGCAGAACACTTCTGTGTCCTGGGGCAATTCAGGTAAATCCCTCAGCTCAGGACGCTCCACGCAGCACTCCCAGGCAAACTGCCGAACTCACACAAGTGGAAAAATTTAACAATCCAGCCCTGAGTTTCTATAAACTTGGAACTGTTGCACACATACACCTGCCATTGTCCCACCTGTTGACACAACAAACACATCTTTCTTCCAGAAGCAGCTACACAGACTGGCCCGTGACTCACCTCAGCCTCGCACTCACTCCTGAGGACTCAGTTCCATTTCAATTACACAGCCCAATTAAACTTCTCGTGGAGTTGGATACAATTATTGCAGCAAGTCCCTTACCTAGACACTATGTCTGTCACTTCACGAGGATCAAGAAGCCAAATTTCAGCATGAGCAGATCCAGGATAAAAAGAAGTGAGATCCAGGCAGCTCCTGCCTCATCACACCAGGCACCTGCAGGGTCATTTCTGAGCTACAAATACAAGGATTTAAAAACAGAGAGAAGAGGTTAACCAAGAAGCTGGGACGGAGAAGGGATCAGACAAGTTTGGGTTTGGATGAGGGGAGCTCAATCAGAGGATCAGGAGTGAATTCAGTGGTGTCATGAACAGCAGAGACACAGATGGAACCCAGCCCAGCAGAGATTCTCTGCTAAAAAGGGTCTGTGCAACAGCAGGGACAGCTCAGAAGAGAGGGCTCATTATCCCAATTGGTATTTAAATGAAATGCTAGTAACTTGAATGGATAAGTAGGAAGGAATTAAAATACTAAGCTAAACATAATTTAAAGGTTATATTATTTTTAAACACTGTATTTAATTGCTCTTCTTAAGCCTACACCATTCCTTATGGATAGATGAAAAAAAGAGGCAGAGGGAGCACCAACAATAGAAACCCCAAGGGAGATGGAAAGGTGAAGGCCTGGTCCATCTAAACCCAGCAGAGGTCCTTTATCAGTCCTGGAGGCAGGAGATGGAAATAGGTGTGAGGGAAGATAAGCAGTGACTCAGGTCCTGAATGTATTTAAAGAACTCCTATTAGTGCTAAGATTAAAAGGCACTCAGAGGTCACCAAACCCAGGTGGAAGCAAGATTGGGATGATAAAGGAGGAGGCATTAAACCCTGGGGAGCTGCACCCCTGCAGGCTCTGCCCAGGCCATCCAGGGAAAACCCAGGTGAATGAGGATCAGCACGTCCCAGGTTCGGGTTTGTGGCTCCACCAGATTCACCCAGATGGATTTTGAAAAATGCCTGTGTCCAGAAGCTTCTTGGAATTTATCACACACATTTTAATAACAGGTGATCCTCAGCACTGCAGCTGCTGGAGGAGGTTTGCAATGATGTTCATGTGAAGAAACAAAAGGTTCAGCATGGAGGGAAGTGCAGGAGCTGCTCTGAAACCTCCCCTCCCAGCCTTGGAGCAGCCCTGCCTCAGGTTAAACCTGCACGAGGGCAAGGGAAGCCTCGTCAATGCCCACACTTCACTGTGCACATCACAGCTACTGCAGCTGCAGCACAAGCAGAATTCAAAAGCACCTCCCGGAGGAACCTCAGGCTTCAGAACTGATTTCAGAAACACAGCTGGAGTTTGTACAAGAGTTCCACAGCAGCAACCCAGCAAGCTTCCTGTGTGATTAAAAGGGGGTTGGAACTGATGGTTTGTAAGGTCCCTTCCAACCACAACCCACTCTGTGATTCCATGATTATGGAAAGGCAGGGAGCCCCCCAGGATTCCTCAGATGAGCTCTCACACCACTACAGCTCCTTCTCCAAGTTAATCAAACCTGCTGTTCGTTTCTTGCAGGACCTTCAAACACTTTACTTGCTCTGACCAGCAATTCTCACAGCAAATACTGAGTTTGAGCTTCTCCATCCTCTCAGAACACTGCCCAGGTAAGGCTGTTTGACTCCTGCTTGGCAAGAACTCCACAGGAGCATCACTAATTAAAGGGCTTATCCTGCTCCACCAGGCCAGTTAAAAGCACCAATTTTTCCAGAGCCAGCACAGTGGATCAAACGCTTTCTCATCTCTGAGCAGTCATTAACCCTGCACAAAACAAAGCTGATTAGCAAATGTAAATGTCCAGATAAAAATAGCCAACATCTGTTTAAATTTAGAAATTTATTTTGTTTAATCCACAAGCTTTATATAGCTTTAGTTAAAAAAACAAAAACAAAGAACAGTGAAAACATGACAATATCCAAAGTTCAGGTTCCTCTAAACTTTCAAAGAACACAGCTCTGAAAGTTGCTCAGACCATTCCGAAGAACCGTAACGAGACAAGATTTATGAATGGGGCAACGACAGCTCACAAACAAAATTTATGGAACTGAAGGAATTATTTTTTTTTTTTCTGGGATTGCTGATCATGGAAACTGCCCTTTAAAAAAAGAACATAAAAATACAAATGAAATTCCAGTGTTCCAAATCAACATGTTACATCAATATAAACCCACAGTGTCCTGGTAAACAACATGCTTTCATTTATGTACCACTCTAAATTGCTATTCTTGATTGGCTTTAATGGAGACTATACAGGCAACAGTAGAAAGCATTAAAATAGAGATGTACTTCCTTGAATTCTGCAGTGGTTTTACTCCTGGGCAAGCCTACAAACCACAAAGGTTAGTAGCATCGTGTAAGTGATACAAAAGAAGTCAAATGAGACCCTCACAAATTCTGCTCAAGGCTCTGTTGGATTTCAAAGAAACGAGGGAACTGACGGTCATGTTTCAAACCTCCAAAACAAATTCCTACTGCTTCTAAGAAGTCTCACCCTAAATGAAATTATGCTGTCAATGAAAGAATGTCACTAGTACACTGTGGACACCTTTTGTAATGTAAATCCATGCCCTTTGTACATGGTGAACCTCAACCTAGCAATTATTACAACAAATGTTATATTCTAAAGCTCAAACACATTTAGCAATTTGAAATTGAATTCTGAGTACAAACCAAATAAAATGTACATTATATCAAAGGGTTGGCCTAGGAGGGGGGGGACACCTGCGCCTTCCTCATGGACCTCAGGGCCTTCTCCCGCAGGTGCTTTTCTAGGTCATCCAGGTTGTCCTCGGGTTCACTCTCTGTCTCCTTCAAACAAACACAAAGAGCTGCTTCAAACACCCCAGGCCCAGGCAGGCTGAGCCCTCCCAGCACTGAAATCCCCACACCCCAAATCCCACTTTGGAATTAGTGCACACCCACCCTGTTTGCTCGCACTGGGCCTTTACAAAGTCCAAGTTTCTCACCTTTTTGGGTTCTGTCTCTGCTTCCTGGTCTTCCTGTACTGAGGTGGTGTCTGGTGCAGCCACAGTAGCAGCTGCTGCAGCCACTGCTGCCTTCTCCTTCTTATGCTTTTTGTGTTTCTTGTGCTTTTTATCCTTTTTATGCTTCTTATCCTTCTTTTTCTTCTTCTTCTTGCCACCACCTTCTTGATCTGAATTCTGTAATAAATAATTCCACAGATGTTACAACTCATCTCTAAGGCCTCAAGCTTCTCTGGCAAAGACTGGAACTGCCCCTGGGAAACACCTCAGAAGAAGAGGTGAAGAAACCAAACAATCTGTTCTCTTCCCACTGGGAATACTCCGAGTTTGCACATAGGATACTGAGCATAAGTAAGCCCCCCTCACTCTGTAAACCATGAAACTCATGTACACTCATGAAATGAGACAGACTTCTTCCCACAAGTCTGATTTTCTATAGACCACCATTTTCTTCCACACTTGGAGATGTTAAGCTTGAAAAATTTGTTAGAAATTATTTTTAGAAGTTTTTAACTACAAAGAATGACCCCAAGCGGTTTTCCCCCGCTGTGAATAACCCTGGGGCTGCTCAGCAGCTCAGCCTTCCCGACATGAGCCTGGCCTAGAATCCAAAGCAGAGCTGCTTTATGAGCAGACAAATTACCCTGGCAGGTGATGGGCTCTGAGTTGGGCTCTTGGCCTTTTTTGCAGGTGACCAGTTTGCAGAAGGAGAGCGAGACCGGGCAGGAGATGCAGGTCCTTGGTGCTTTTTGGGAGCTGTCTCAGGTGACCCTGACGCAGATCGGGACGAGGACACGCGCCGGGGGCTGGGGGTGGAAGCCCTGGGGAACACAAGAGTCACAGTCAGAGGTGAGACACAAAACAAGGGAATGTCAACACAAGAGACAAATGAACACCTGTGCTTTAACTTGGCCAAGCTGCACTTGGAAGATTTAAATTGATTTTAAAAATGAAACAGATTAATTGCATTGTTGATGTGATAAAAAGGCAAAACGGTCCAATAGCAGAGTGGATCCACAATGCAGAGGGATAATGCAGCCTGAAAAGCTGTTAAACAACCCTGCTGCTGCTGCTCAGAACTGATTGCTGCCTTTCTGGTTTAACTAAGCTATAATCACATTAAAAGTCAAGAGAACAGTAATGCTATTTAATTGTGCATGGCTTTCCATTCAGCTACATTTTCTTTCTGAAAAAATTTATAAGTCAGCACCATACTTTTCATTGTCTGCTCAGCATTTCACTAAAGATGAAAATATTTACAATTTTAGCAGTTTATAAGGAATGGCCACTGCCAGAGGGCAGGGTTAGACGGGATATTGGGAAAAACTTCCCTGTGAAGGTGGGGAACAGGCACAGGGTGCCCAGAGCAGCTGTGGCTGCCCCTGGATTCCTGGAAGTGTCCCAGGCCAGGCTGGATGGGGCTTGGAGCAGCCTGGGACAGTGGGAGGTGTCACCATGGCAGGGGTGGCACTGGATGGGCTTTAAGGTCCCCTCCCACCCAAACCATCCTGGGATTCTATGATTCCTCAACAACTTTCACTGCATTACAACTAAACAACAACGCCATATCAAACCCAAAGGAGACAAAATGAGATTTTTTTACTTTGTTTTCTTGGGTTCTGGTGTTCTGGACACCCTCCTGATGGGCCTGGTGCTGGGTGAGGGTGACTGCCTCCTCTGCGGCGACGCCGACGCTCCCCGGCGCGGCGGCGGAGGGCTGGAGGAGGGGTGGGAAGCTCGAGGCCGTGGTGAAGGTGAATGCCTTTTGTTTTGTGGTGGAGAACGTGTTTCCCTGTTGGATCTGCTGGGAGGAGACCCCTTCCTGTGCTTGGAAGATACGGAAGGGGAGCGCCGTTTAGCAGTAGGGGAGCTCCTCTGTTTTGGCGGTGGGGAGTGGGAGACTCTGCGCTTGGACTGGGGGGAAGGGGAGGCCCTTCTTTTGGGAGGGGGAGGAGGAGAAGCTGTTCTCCTCTTGGGAGGGGGAGATGGGGAATATCGCCTCTGGATCGGGGGGGAGTATCTCCGTGGAGAGGGAGAACGTCTGCGCGGGGGTGGTGATGGAGACCTGCAAAGAAAACAAATGTTCAGGGGCCACCCAGGCACGGCAATCAGTCAGCAGTGCACCCAAAGAGGGGGAAAAGGACTCTTTAAGCTGTTTAAACTTGTCAAAATTTAAACCAGAATTCTTTAGAAGTTCTAAGAGTTTAAAGCAAAACTCTGTTATCCAGAAAGTTTGTGGTTGCCCCATCCCTGGAAGTGTCCAAGGCCAGGCTGGACAAGGCTTGGAGCGACCTGGGCTCATGGAAGGTGTCCCTGCCCATGGCAGGGGGTGGGACTGGATGATCCTTAAGGTCCCTCCAACCCAAACCATCCCATGGTTCTGTGATTCCGATTCAGGATTTGCAGCAGCAACCCGATGCCATCCAGGCCACGCACCCACCAAACCCAACCTCACCAGCACAATACATCCCCCTCAGCTCCCCAGTGAAGGAACCGGGAGCAGGGCCCTTTTCCCATGCCCAGAGCAAGTCCCCAAGCCCAGGGCAGGCAGGTGATGGCCAGTGTGGTACCTTCGGCGAGGCGGGGACGGCGAGCGGCGACGCCGGGGCGGTGGAGCCGGGGAAGGGGAGCGGCGCCGGCGCGCGGGGGGCGGCGAGGGGCTCCTCCTCCTCCTGCTGCTGCAGAAAACAGGGATTGATCAGGGAACTGCCAGCTGAGCCACGAGCTGCTTTGTGCTCTGCTTTCACTACACAAAATCTGCTCCTTCATGCACCTTGAAATGGAATTCTACTGGGAGCACTAATGGAAAGAAATGGACTTGAATCCTTCTGAAGAGTGTGAAATGAGGAATGTCTGACTGTGACCCTGAGCCCACCGTGGGTGTCTGACTGTGACCCTGAGCCCACCACGGGTGTCTGACTGTGACCCTGAGCCCACCGTGGGTGTCTGACTGATCCTGAGCCCACCACGGGAGTCTGACTGTGACCCTGAGCCCACCGTGGGTGTCTGACTGTGACCCTGAGCCCACCACATCAGCCAGGACACAATTCCACATCTGCAAAACCTGATCCATCACCACCTTGCAGCCAGAGAAAGACCAAATGGTTAGATTAAGCAATGGATCATGTGCTGATTTTGCCTTGGGTGGAGTTAATTTTCTTCACAGTGTGAAACTGTGCTCCATTTGAAATCCAAAACTATTTATTTCTTGAAATGCAGTGAAAAAAAAATGAAGTGGTTGGTAAACTGCAGCTCTCTGGATTAAAGCCATTCACCAAATGAGCCATTTTCTGCTTAGCAGGGCTTATGACAGACTTCTGGAAGGGGGAAATATAATCCAACACGTACTTGCATAGAATTTTAAAAGAGAAGAATACTGGTAAAGTGAAATATTCCTTTTGTTAAAAAAAGCAGTTAAGCTAAAATGACTGGATAAGGGAAAAATGAGAGCAATTAAAAAGCAAAACAGCTCATTTACATGAAGTGAGATTTGATTTCAAATATGCTGGGTATTGCTCTCCAAGGCAATGAGACACACTTGTATAGATAAGAGTTTGCTCCAAAATACAACATTCTTTTATGATCCAGAAATCCCCCAGCCTTCAAATGTACTAACTGTCCTAATAAACATGTATTTATGCAACAGGCAGTACGTGAATTCAGTGTGTTGCAAAACAAGATCAAAGCCTTTGAATCCCAACCTGTTTTCCACAGAAATGTTTGACAGGATCCATAATTAGGAAGGTCTGCACTGGTGAGGGAGTCGTCCTTATCTCCTAAATCATGATGTGTGCTGTGAGTATCTGCTAGCTAGGGCTTAATTACAGCCTGCTCAAGGGTCATTACATCCAATTAATAAACCCATCAAGCTTCCTGCACCTTCTGTACTCCTAGCTCAATACAGAGCAAAAAGTGTCACAAATAAAAAAGTCACTGCTGTTTTACTGATTGTCTGCTTCTAGTAATTCCAAATATCTCATGAACTGAGGAAAGAGAGTTTTGAAAATTCCTGTCATCTCTGACCCGGAAGATCTTAATTGCTTAATTAAGCAATAAGCTTAATAAACCCCCTTGCAATTGCGCAGGAGGGTTTGAGTCAGTGGCAGCAGGAATCCAACACTGCTCACCCAAAGCTGGGTGTCAGGAGCCCTGAGGAACACAAGTGCTCAGCTGTTTTCAGGCATAAGTGAGATGCAATAACATCAAAGTTATTGATGTCACAGGCTGATGTGAATTAATGAGGGGTGAGAAGTGAGGGACACAGAGCAGGTGCTGCTCCTCCTCTTTTTGCCAGTGAAATGGTTCCAGGTCCAACACATGAAGGAGCACATCAGTCTGAATTTCCCTCACTGTGAGTGTGCAAGTCTAAAGGACAAAGGATGGCAAATGCTTATCCACGCCAAAATAAATGACAGCCTGTGTAAGAGATGAATTTCTAACCAACCTTTTCATCACTGGTGATTGCCACCTCTTTTCCATCTGCATCCTGAGAGCAGTGGAGGGAAAACAAAACAAAACAGATCTATCTGCCACAGATCTGAGGTAAAAATGAACACCATCAAATAAAGGTCAGAGCAATTTTTACCAAATGAGTGTAATGGGAAGGAAATCTTGAAAGAAGACCGGGCAGAGTGGGCATGACTTGATGTGTTTTTGGTGTGAGTTGCAGAGAGATAAACATTCAATAACAGGAAGGGATGAGTTAAGTTCAGTTACCGAGGGGAGGATTCCTTCTGGCGCTTGCGGGGCGAAGGCGAGGGGCTGCGCGAGTGCGAGTGCCGGCGGCGCCTGCCCACCTCCCCGTTCTTCACGTTCGACCTCTTGGGCCTCTCCTCCTCTGAGGAAGATGAAGAACCAGAATCTGCAAACGTAGAATAATCACTCTCTGGAAAATGATCCTTGTGACATTGGTCACTGACAGGGTAATGCTGCAGTTCAAACCAACCTCCCGCAAAATGAGAACCCAAAATTTAAAAGCAGATCAACTAAAGGTGTTGGTTGAACTGAAATGATAAATATATCTACCAGAAATGGGTAAAAATACTTGCAGTGATCTATCCCCATAAAATTTGGCTAGACAGATAATTTAAAAGGTGAACTGCAGTTGCTTTGTGAAGCTATGCAGGCAAAAACACCCAGCTGAATGATCTCAAACATACAAGAACCAAACTAAGGACAGACGAAGTGATCCACAGCACACAATATTTGTGCGTGATCTTAAGAGTTTAAAAGCACAACTTTTAAAGATGCAAACCCATTAACAAAAGATGGAATAACCTTTTAAAGTCATACTTTTATTCTTCCTAAGCAATAATTAGAGTGGCCTCATAATGAGTGGCAAATCTGTAATTAAGTTTACAATAGCCCTGCAGAGCACAGAGCAAATACTTTTAATCTGTATTTGAACTTAGCTACTTCCTGCAAAAGTAAACTAAACTTAGTTTTAGGGAATTTCTGTGCTCCATACCAGATGAAGACTGTTGATTTTGCCTCCTGTACTGGCGCCTCTGTTGGACAGAATCTGCTGCAGCCATTTTGCCTCCTTTGTCTTCTTCTGAAAAGACACACAAGGACAGGGCACTTAAACCAAGGGTACAGGTTTGCCTTATGCAGGCAGAAACAAAGTTATGGACCATCAGGTACGGGCTTTTCCCCCACTCAAATCTCAGAATAACATAAGGCTGGAATACACTTTGGCTGAACTTTTATTCTGAGCAATCTGGATAGAATGAGGCAGTAGGAGTGATCATCTTCAGAGTTCTGAAAACCCTTGCTTTCAATGCCAGACTTGCAGGAGGGCTCAGCACCTCACTGCCCAAGTATTTCTGACTGAAAACTCCAGCCAGGAGCAGAGCTGAGAAGCCAGTGCTGTACCTGATTCCGACAATTCTGCTTTCCTGGGCTTGGGTGCTGGCGAAGGAGATTCTCTTTTCTCAGTACTCTTATGTTTGGGTGCTACAAGACAAAACAAAATAGCTCAGCTGCAATTCACGCTGTTCCTTCACGCTTTTCTGCCCCTACAAAAAGCACACGCGCTCTTTGAGGGAGCAGAAGCCCCAGAGGGAAGCCAAGCCCTGCTGGCGCCCCTCACCTGAAGCCCTGCTGGGTGAGACGGAGCCGCGGCTCTTGCGGGCGCGGTTGGACTGCTGTGGCGTGGGCGAGCGGCGCGGTTTGCCCGGGGGGCTGCCGGGGGGCGAGGGCCGGTGGCGGCGCCGGGGGGGACTGGCCGAGGGCGACAGCCGGCGCGTTTTGCGGGGAGGGCTGGACACGGGTCTCTTGGGAGGCTTCTTTGGTGGAGAGCGGGAGCGCGACGACGATGAGGAGGAGCTGCTGCCGGACAGCGAGGCCGAGGAGCGTCTTCTCCTGCAAATCAAAGCCCACGTCAGGTCCTGCCCGGCCGCAGCAGGGAACATCTCAGCACAAAGAACAAAGAACTGCAGTTGTTTGCAAGCACAGACACTGAGCCACAGACAACAGCGCTTCCCAAACACGGTGGACAGCCTGCGACACTTGGTTTGGAGAAGAGGAGGATAATGACCAATCTTTCACAGTTATTCTTAAACTACAATAGTGAGCTAAAAATTGTTAGTGTCACCTTCACTGGCTTTCTGTCAATCTACAGGCTAGAGCTAAGCTTTGCCCCTGGAAACAATTAGTTTTGGTTGGGCTCTCTGACTTCTGGGTGGTTAAGAGAATTGTCTGTGTTAGCACGTGTGACTTGATCTCCAAATCAGATCTGGGTAAGTTTAGTGTGCGAGCACACTAAAATGTTTTACACCAGGAGGTGAAAATTTCGGACAACTTAGCAACTTAACAATTCAGAATCGATCTATCCATCATTATGTTTTAGTCTTTCATCTTTACTTTGTAATTTTAAAAGGTAGGGCCTCAGAATTCTGCGGCAAAATTTGTGGCAAGTTCTGTTGCAATTGTGTACCTGCAGAATCCACCTTTGGCTGCAGAATTCCTGAGAACCTGGAAAAAAGAAACCCTACCTTGAGTGAGATAAACATTTGCTGAAAGGGAGCTCTTGTACATCTTGCAACATACATGTTTGATACTTTTCACAGTTTTCCCAGTAACTGTGTGAAATGAACATATTGACAAACTCAGGAAATAGTCAACACCTTGTCACAGAAAGGAAGAGAAGTGATCCTTCCTCAAAAACAACTGCTGTACACAAGAAGCATCACTTTGATTCTCTTCCTATAAAGAGGATCAGAATCTGTTCTCTCCCCATGAAGACAAATGTCTCTTTTGACACTGCCAAAAGCACATAATTTACTTTGCAAGGCAGCTAAGAGCTTTGCCTCTAGAACAATTCTTATGCTGTGAAAAATGTGACTTTCAACACCAAAGGGCAAATCTAGAAGGATCTTAAGTAAGAGAACATGAAGAAGAAACATACTTCGAGTCCAAATTTAATTTTATGTCATAGAAATACAAGTCATAATTTAAAATTCCCAACAAGCAAAATTCAATTACTTGTTCTCATTTTTTTTCCCCCAGGCAGGAAAGAAAAGTGCTAAGACTTAAGCAAAAAAGCCCTAAGAGATGTCATGTCAGTCTGTGCTGGGAGCTACCCAGAGCCATTTGAAGAAGTAAAAAAGAAAAAAAAGCTCTGAAATTGCCACTTTTCAAAAAGGCAGAATTCTCATCACTATCCTAACTCAAATCATTTCACAGCTACAACTGTGTTCCCCCACAACACACTCAGGAAATGTGACACCGCAGTTTTTCCATCACTCTCATCACACACCTGCCAGTGCTAAGGTTGAGATGAAGGAGGGAATTTTGCTAACATGGCTACAAGTTCCCTTTAACTTTCCAGGTTTAGCACTTCCAGCTGTCTCAAAAAGCAGGGCTCTTACCGCCTCACGGGGGATCTGCTCCTCCTGTGCCTGGGTGGGGGAGGCATTCTCCGGGGCGGGCTCCTCCTGCGCGGGGACGGCCGGCGCCGCGGGCTGGGTCGCCTTCTAGGGGAGTAAGACCTGTCACAATCAGAAATTCCAGTGAAAAGCAACTATCTAACTTCTATAGTTGAGGAGATTTATCCTCGGGGCACTGAGTGCAGAGTTGCTTTTCCTCCATCGTATTAATGCTGTATTTAGGTGAGGATGCCAAATGTACAGACACAATCAGGGCTTTGAAGTTTAACAACATCTTTTGAATAAGTAGTAGAGTAATAAAAAAAGGAAGTAAAGAAAGTATTTTACAGCATTTTCAGCATCAAACCCATGTCCTAAAGAAAGGCTACACAATTATCAGTATTAAGCAGCCCAATTCCTTCTCCAGTCAGTGCTGGTCACCGTGAGCATCTTCTCATAAATCAATACAAACAAAACACTCCCAAACACATTTATGCATCTTTCTCACTTGGCCCAAAACATCCACAGCTCAACACCTCTGAAAACATCACTAACTAAGAACATTGAGTGGAACCTTCAGCAGAAAATATTCTCAACCTTCACAAACAGCACCTGAAGCCCTACCTTGACCGTGATCTATGGCGCCTTCTGGGTCGAGAATGAGATGGAGAACGGGATCGGGATCTTGACCTGGACTTGGACCGAGTTGGGGATCTCTGACGAGTCTTCTCCTTCTCCTTCTCTCTCTCCTTCTTTGAATTACGTTCTGGTGAAGTTTCCTTAGTCTCTGGTACAGGAGGTTCAGGTTTAGGAGCTTTCGGGATATCACTGTTAAAAATAAGGACTTCATTTGTAAGCACATACAAACTAAAGCCTGCAGAGTAACATTTTAGAAGTTGCCAAGATATTCCCTTACAAACGTTCTCCAGCCCATTCTCTGACAAATTGCTCTAAAACTGTGAGAA